GGAACCCTAAACGGACCACTGAAGGAACCCTGGTGGAACCCTGTCAGGATCCCAGATAGGCAAAATATAGAGGCCGTAATAATTAGAACAGGGTTTTGGGGCCCATTATACTATAATTATAATAAGGAGCCCAAAACATAGTGTTGGTAATTATGTAGGCCCTAGATTAGGTTCTTTGGATCCAAACGATGCCCCAAATCTGATGATTTTCTAGGGTCCAAGGTTTAGGGTTGAGGGTTCCCAATACACAACCCGAATATAGGAACCTGATGAAGGGCCCTTGGATCTTGTCTTAGGGTTCTCTCTATGATTCTATGATCCTACTATCCTACATTGGACTCCACACCCTAACCTTAACCCCTCAACCCTAAACCCTAAATCCTAAACCCTAAATCCTAACCCAAATCCTAAACCCTAAAGCAGGAATACCAGGCCTTAATCTCAGAGGCCTGGACGGGTGCAACCTCCCAGGCACGGACTGCCAGGATGTAGGGCTTGCGGTGTACCCTAAACCCTAAACCCTAAACCCTAAACCCTAAATCCTAAACCCTAAACTCCCTAAACCCTAAATCCTAAACCCTAAACCCGTTTCAGATCTTAGGGCTTCAGGGGCTGAGGTCGGGGGGAGTCCCCTAAATTAGGGTCCCTATTCCGGGTCCTTCAAGGGATCTAGAAGGGTTTCTACATGGGCTTCTATAAGGGTTCTGTGTGGGAGCATCACGTTCAAGCTTTGGGGTTTACGTGCTCGCGGGGCTTTCCGGTTTTTGGTGAGTTTGAGGTTTGGAATTTGGGAGTCTTGGGGTGAATTGAATAGGCTTAAAGATCGGGGTTAAGGCTTGTAGGGACAGAGTGAGTCTACTAGTACTGTAGCATGATGTTGCGACGTTTCAATCTGGGCTTTTTGTGGCGTGGCTTCGAGGTTTCAGGTTTCGGGCTCCCGTTTTTCGGTCCGATGCAAGCCACTCGACAAGAGATGTACAGCTCGCAACTGACATGCGTACCCTGAAAATCCACACCGTGCGCGTCAGTGATCCATGACATTATGGCACAAGCGCTTAGAATCCTCAAGGACTTCCTACATCCTGGACTGTAGCACAAGTTCTCAGGTCACATATTTCAAGGTAAGCACCCCAAGATAAAATTGTACCTTCTGACCACAAACTCAGGAAACTACGCCCTAAACCATTCAGCCCACCCCACCTTCGCCTCCTTACGCACAGTGACTGCTTCCCTCAGCCATCGGCACAAGTATCAAAACTTCCGTTCTACACAAGCCGTTGATCACGGGTTCCGGTTAGACATACATGCATACGTGTATGTCCATATACATATATATATATATATATAGAGAGAGAGAGAAGGAGAGATACTGATAGATACATATATATCTATATGTATGTCTGGTAGCAGATGTAAGTACATATGTAACTATATTCAATATTGTATGTGTGTTTATATATATATATATATATATTAAATGTTGTGTATATATCTATATATATATATATATGTATGTTATAGACGTACTCTGTACCTACATACCTACCTTCATACCTGCCTACCGACATACAAACATACAAACATACCAACAGACAGACAAACAGACAGACAGACAGGCATACATGCATGCATGCATACATGCATGCATACACACACACATACACACATTGACTTAATAAATTCTGACTCTAGGGACGGAAGGCGAAAGAGTCGGCCAGAGCCCGCAAGGTTACATGGTTGCAGGCGTTTGGGCTTCTTGAAGTTCAGGAAGGGGCAGCCCTATCGAAGCACATAATGAGCTTGAACTGAGATGGAGGGTCGGGGTAGTTGGTGCTGCTGTATGCCGCAAGCCCCAAGGGGTCCCAATCCCGAAAACCCCAAGTGCACCACAGAGGCGGGCAGTGATCATAAACCCTTTCCAATTTTCTCGCAACAACGACATGCCACAGCATGTCACAATCCTAAACTTCCAAACCCTAAGCCCGGAAGCCATCGACCTGAATCCGAAACTGGCACTGAATCCGAAGGAACGAGCTATCCCACCAGCACATCGCTCTGAGCCCTAAAGCCCTAAACCCTAAACCGCGTCGGCTTTCCGTGAGGGGAGCTTCAAATTCATTCGGGCTCTTCGGCTCGAGGGCTCCCGGCAGGCCTATGGAAGCCCGATGGTGCCCATAACCCAGCACAGCCCTAAGCCCACCAACAAGCCGAAGCCTAAACACCGAAATTCCTATAGTAGGCTCCTATCGGGCCTGAGAAATTCCACTGGGGTTGTGGGGTATGCTCCCCCGGAAGTATAAGAAGGATCTCTAGGGAATACTCTGCTAGTTTTTGTTGTGGCCCCATATCTTGCAGCTGAAAGGGCGGTTCCTCCTCCGGTTCGGCAGGTTGCACGTGGATGGTGGGTGGCTCGTCTGGCCACACATCGTCCTTGTCCTCCTCGGTAGCAGTAGCAGTAGAAGTAGCAGTAGCGGTAGGATCATCAGCCGAGCGAAGCTCGCCGACTCGCTAGGCGGACCCCGGACGTCTCGCCGCAAATGGAAGCAGTAGAAGTAGAAGTAGAAGTAAGAGCGGCAGCAGCAGTAGCAGTAGCAGCAGTAAAGTAGTAGTAGCAGTAGTCGTGGTCGACGCGGTGGCAGCAGCAGCATCAGGCGTAGGGCTGGAGGCTGTTTTCCTTCGCAACTCTGAAACCATCAGGGCTTGGGGTTTGGGGTTGTAGTCGACTCGTCAATGCTTTGAGAGCCTTCAGCAAAAAGTCGAAAGTGTTGGGGGCCTGTCGGAATCCCATATACAACTCGCTGTACCAATCGTTCAAACGAAGCAAGCATGCCATCTAAGGGGGTGTCGCCTAGAAACCTTTCCAGTAAATACGTTGTCGACATTGAATCATACAATCCGCACTTGAACCCTTATGCAATTCCGTATAAAAGTTTTGATAGAGCCAATGGACACCCTGCGAAACAAGAGAAACAACAAGCACTGAGCAATAGTCAAACAGATACACAGGCAAATAAACAAATATGAATTACACATACATACATACATCCATGCATGCATACATACATGTACATATACATGTATACATGCGCACAGGTACCGACACATACGTACATATATTTACATACACAACACTGAACTCGATGCGGAAAGCCCTGCCGCCTCCTCATGCCACTCCTCCTCGGCCCAGTTCTCCTCAGGCCAGTACTCTTCATAGTCTTCAGCGCGGTGCCACTCGAATCCCTGAGCAAAACTGTTCAGATTGGGGTTTAGGGTTTAGGGCATTTCATTGTCATAAGGACCCCTGATCCGATAAAGGGTAGGGGTAAGGGGGCGACAACGGGAAGGGGGAAGGGGCCCTCAATGCCTCTGATAAGGGACCTGATAAAGGCTCGGTGAGTCCTCTTTAAGGAAATCCCCTGCCCCCCTCCTCCCCTTTACCCCCCTATGAACTATGGCTCCTGATTGACTATGACGGAAGGGCTCTTGAACACGCATTTAAATATTTGCATTTAGGGTACTCCCTTAAATCCTCAAACCCGTAACCCTTAAAATCCTGAACCCAAAGACAGCACATTCAGCCTCTAGACCCTCGGTTTAACGGCACGGGGCTTTAGTGGTCAGGATCTGGGGCCTGGGGTTTGAGGTTGTGCGGTGCTAGGGATTTTGAGTCTGAGTAGGGTTTTGCGGCTCAGGGTTCAAATTTGCAACTGAGAATCTCTAGATTGCTGCGGAGTTCAAAGCCAAATCCCCGAGAACCAACCCTATAACACCCTGAGAGCAAACCTGATGAAGACCAAAAAGATCGGCCCAGAAGCCCGAAGCTTATGCTTGTTCTTGTCAGGGTCATCCCACAATCCGGTGGGCCTGAAATCCAGGCCCTGTCTGATATGCTGTGCTGCAAGTAGCATTGAACCCATCATCCCGAGCATGAAACCCTGAGCCCTAAACCCTTGAAGCCGTGAAAGCCCTGAACCCTTAATCCCTAAAACCCTAAACCCTAAAACCCTAAATCCTAAACTCCTAAACCCTAAGACCCTAAACCCTAATCCCTAAAACCCTAAAACCCTAAAACCCTAAAACCCTAAAACCCTAAACCCTGAGACACCTAAACCCTAATCCCTAAAACCCTAAACCCTAAACCCTGATCCCTTAAGCCCGAAGGCTTACAGCATCATGGCGTCGAGCTTTCAGCACAAATTCGAGCCCAAAAAACCCCTGAAACGTAAAGGCCAGGCCCTTGCAGAACTTATTCAATATCGGGGCCTTAAGAACTAGAGTTTGGGGGGTCCATTATACTATATAAAAATAATAAGGAGCACTTACAGAAAACCTAAACCCTAAAGCCTAAACCCTGAACCCGAAACCTAAACCTTAAACCCAAAACCCGAAAACCTAAACCCTAAACCCTAAACCCGAAAACATAAACCCTAAACCCGAAAACCGAAACCCTAAACCCTAAACCCTAAACCCGAAGCCCTAAACCCGCACCTTGCCAGGACCATCCTTGCGCCAGTGGATTACACCAGTCCTCTGGGCTTCCAAGGGGTCGAAGTAGTAGGTCCAGCTGCCCCACCAGACACTGCAGGGAGGGAGGGTGTTGGGTTTAGGGCTTAGGGTTGAGGGTTTGGGGTTTAGGGTTTGGGGTTTGGGGTTTAGGGTCTTAGGTTTAGGGTTTAGGGATTAGGGTGGTAAGGTGTTAGGGTTTAGGACACTGCAGGGAGGGATGGTTGTTGCTTTATGTGTGGTTTGGAAGTAGAGGGGGGTCTATAGGTGGGGGGCTTGGTAAATAGGATCTAAAGCCTAAGCCCTAAACCCTGAGGGTCCAAAGTACCCAAGAATAAGTAATTTGGCTGCGGATAGTAGTTTTCTAGGTTAGTATTTGGGAGAGTATATGATTATTAAGTACTTGGACCCTTCGGGAAACCCTGAAAGGGTTGGCCAGAAAATGACAGCAGGTTGGTTGATTGCTTGTGGCCAGCTAGGGGCGGCCTCGGCTCGAGGTTACATAAGGTTTAGGGTTTTAGGGTTTAGGGCTAGTCCCCAACACGGAGTATGATGAGAAATATGAATCACTGTATCTCTGGGAGCAGCGCCGTATCTTCAGCCTTGGACTCACGCGTGTTATACGCTTTTCCTCAGTTCAAAGAACTTCATGACATTATCCGAATTCCCGCCCGAGCCCCGCAAAGATGTCAGAACAGGAAGAAAAAAGACGTTCCTGGCAACCCTGAACCATACATCCTGAAACCCAAAACTGTCGCAACGTTCTGGGATCCTGTGACCAGATGCTAACTGCTAGCACCTGCTTCTGGGAAGCCTGTTTGAGGGTGAAGTTCCTAAACCCTAAAGCCTAAACTCTAAACCTTAAACCCCAAACCCTACAGTAAACGGATAGTGGAGGTCGCCCCCCAATAGAAACACGAAAGTCTGCGAGGACCCCTGGCCATTCCCCGAAACCCAACACTCGACTTGGGTTTGGGGTTGAGGGTTAAGGGTTGAGGGTTTAGGGTTGAGGGACTCCCCTAAACCCTAAACCCTAAACCCTAAATCCCTCTTTGTCTGTGGTTTTGTCTGTCTGTGGCTGCCTTTCCGACTCCTCGTCGTACCAGATCGTAAACTTCCTGCAGCTGCCGGCATCAGCATTGAGCTGAAAGCGCTTCTTTGGGGCTTTCGTGTTTCATCGGCAAGCATACAGTATGCTCGCAGTTCTTGCCAGGGCAGCTACTGTTGCACCTATCCGCAGTTGAAGTAAAACAGTGGTACCGTCTCTACTATTCCGGCAGTTTCCTGCCGTGACGTTGCGGTTCGGGGGCGGCAGCACGAGCGGAAGTTGGGGAGCAACAGTAGGAACAAAGCAGGCACGCTTGACCTGGGTGGCTGTGGCAGAGGCAGCAGCAGTAGGATTCAGGATTCTAGTATATTGTGGTAGCAATCGTCGTCGTCGTCGTCGTAGTCGTAATCGTCGTAACAGCGGCAGCAGCAGCAGCAGTAGCGGAGTATCAAAACACGGAGCCCAGGCGACGTCGTCGTCGTTGCTGCTTTTGCTCTTGTCGGCGTGAATGGTTGCGCCGTCTGCACGCAAGCGGTTGTGGCAGGCGCAGCAGAATCGGAAGTCCTCCCCATCATAGTATAGTAATACCTGGACCCCTAAAGCATGTAGAATAGTAGCCTTTTANNTTACCTACTTTGGGGGGTCTAGGTAGTGACTGTCGTGGTAGTGGACGATCCACGTCGGCCGTCCACTTGAAGCTGTTTAGGGCTACCTGTAGTCTCCAGTCTAGTTCTTCTTTTTGGGTTTAATCAGCTTTAGGGTTTAGGGTTAGCTTTATAGTTCGGCTTCTCTAAGGTAATCCGGACAAGGAAATAATTACAATGGAGACTACGGGTGTCTGGGGTTGGGCTTGCATAGAGCGGTTGCTCTGATGAGCTTTGCTGGGTGGACGCTATCTTCAGATTTAAAGTTATACTGACTATCGATTTATCTTCTCTGCCTACCTGTACTGCTTTCCCCAGAAAAAATAGAAACCTAAACACTCGTTGCTGCTGCAAGGAACTACAGTATACTCAAACATACTACAACATATGTAAAAATACTACAACATACTACAATTATACTATAATGCACAATCATGTGTGAACTTCCGGATGCTCTAAGGCCCTTTCTTCGACCAGAGGTCCTGCGTCCTAGGACCCTAGGCGTAAGCCCAACCACCCACTACGAAGCTTCAAACTATCAAAAGTAGCTGGGACAGGTCAAAAGCAAATTGAAAAATAGCTCCTCAATTCCAACCCCAACACTCCAAATAGCTCTATCGACCCATGGAGTCTTGGCTAGCCACAGTCTTAGGTTAAGCTCTGGTGCCCACACCTAACCCGGTAAGCCCCCTGCACCCACTGAAACCCTAGCCCTAAAGCCCACTGAATCCTAAGCCCTCAACCCTAAACCCTAAACCCTAAACCGAAACATCCGGAAACCCTCAGCTATAAACCTCCAAAGACCTGCGACCTGAGCCCTCCGCCTGCAACTCTGGACTCTATTTGAGGATTTAGGGTTTGGGGTTTAGGGTTTAGGGTTTGGGTCTTAGGGTTTAGGGTTTAGGGTTTAGGGCGTGTTTGAAGATGGTGAAGCCCCACGGCATGACAGGGCGTAGATTCTTAGAAGGTTCTGCAAGGGTTCTATATTATAAGTCTTATGAAGGGTTCGATATGAAACCCACAGGCTCCAAAAGAAGGCTTGATACATATGTATATATATATATATGTTATATTATATTATTGGTGCTCGTGGTTTCTGATTCGGTGTTCTGGGTTCATATTTCGGATAGTTTCGGGATGCTGTCCGGGGCAATGATACTCCCAGCAAAGACCATCATGAGCTGCACTAGAGCCCTCAGTGAGGTGGCATGGTATCGTACCTTGATTCTTGGTCTGCCTACTGTTAGTCTATCTTCTCAACGATCGATCTCTCCTATATGCTTCGGTATCAAACTGTGTATAAATGTATCACAGAAAATCCTCAGCCCTAAACGCCTACACCGTGGCTCTACGGCTATTTGGAGCATCGTGGGTTTACCAAGTGCACACACACACACACACGCACACACACAGAGACCCAAAACCCAGAACCTTCAACCCTAAACTAAACCCCAAACCCTGAACCCTGGACCCTGATAGATCCCTTGTAGAACGCTGAAAGGAGCCCTTCAATATCGAACCCCCAATCACCCTCAATGCCGTAAGGAAGAAGCCTTGCCCGTCTGCCCCAGTGGACCAGATCCCTTGTGCAATCCTTAGAGAAGCCCTCGAAGTGACCCTACAACCCTATAATCCTTAACACTACAAACCCCAACCCTAAACCCTAAACAGCCCTAAACCCAAACCTTAAACAACCCTAAACCTTAACCCCGACGCCCCAAAGCCCTGTAGGCCCAAGACTGAAGCCAGGGTGCTTGACTTGCCCGTCTGCTCCAGTGCGCACACAACTCCAGGTACCGCTGTTGGCGTGGGCGGAGTTGATGCAGCTCAGTTCATAGGTCTCTCCCTGGTTCACAGATTTGGGTAGGGTTTAGGGTTTAGGGTTTAGGGTTTAGGGTTTAGGGTTTAGGGTTTAGGGTTTAGGGTTTAGGGGGCTTAGGGGTTTTAGGGTTTAGGGGTTCATGTACCTCTCCCTGGTTCACCCCTAAGGGTC